CAGGCGCTGCCCCTCGCGCCTCCTCCCGCCCGGGTAAGTGGGCGCCGGCGGTGGGGAGGGGGCTGCGGGGCTCTTCCATCCGCCCCTCTTTCAGCCACGGTCCCACCCGGGGGTGGGGGGGTCTCCCCGCGGACCTCAGACCCTCAGCCCCGGGCGGGGGGCGGCTGGACCCCCCTTGCCCTCTTGGAAGGGTCGGGGAGGGGTGCGGGGCTGGAGCATCCTCGCCCCCTTTGGGGGGCGTTTCCCACCCCCGCCGCAGCTGGAAGGGCCTGGGGGGTGGGGGGCTAGCGAGGCCGGGGACGGCCTGGTCCAGCTCCCCGGAGACCCGCCGGCATCCTTTGCAGCGGAATTCTCTTTCGGGGAGGGGGCTGCATCGCTTTCTGCCCGCGGGGATGGGAGATGGGGCTCCCCTTATTCAAATGCATCCCCAAAAAATAGATGGGGAGGGGCTGTACTGCTGCAGCCCACCCCCACCCACCCCCCTTTCTTGTTGGAAGAAGCCCCTCTATGGTAACCGGGCAGGATACCTTGACCCTGGGTGATTGATAGCTGTCAGTCGCTAAAGTGGGCTGGAAGAATTCCCCCCTCCTTCCTCTTTTCTGGACCTTAAAAGGTGGTTTTAATTTAATTTGATATTTCAGCCTTTCAACCTTTGTAAGCTGCTTTTTTGAGGCCCTCCTGAAAAACGGCAATCAGGATTGAACTGATGAAACAAACTAAGTGGGGAGAAGAACCATATTTTTTTATCATCCTGGCCAGTACGGGTAGTCCTCGGCTTACAACACCTCATTTAGTGCCCATTCAAAGTTACAACGGCACTGGAAAGAGCAACTTACGACCGCTCTTCACTCTTAACGACCGTTGCAGCTTCCCCCGGGGTCACGTGATCAAAATTCAGACACGTGGCAACTGACTCGTATTTATGACGGTCGCAGTGTCCCGGGGGGGGGGTGTCACGTGATCTCCGTTTGCGACCTTCTGACCAGGAAAGTCCACGGGGAAGCTGGATTCACTTAGCGACCGTGGCCAGAAAGGTTGCAAAATGGGGCAAAACTCTCTTAGCCAATGTTTCGCTTAGCAGCAGAAATTTAGAGCTCAATTTGAGGTCGTAATTTGAGGGCTACCTGTATTTATTTAAAGGATTGATATGGCCACCTCTGGGCAGCTTCACAAAATATTTAAAAAAACAATAAAAAAGAATTTAAAAAGTAGCACCCCATCCCTCAGGAAAGCAGGAAAAGCGGTTCAAATTCCCTGGCAGAGTTCCTAAAGTTGGCCCAGCGTGTTTCTCTGCTGTAGAAAAGGCAGGTGATGTTTCCTCTGCCTGTCGCAGCAGCCCCCTCCCCAAATACCTGAGGCCGTGATCACCCAGCGTGCCCAGTTAAAGGTAGTAATTGCAATTGTAATTTAATAAAATTATATGCCACCCAATCCCGCAGGACTCCAGGCGGCTTACAAATACAAGACTAAAANGATTATATGTTATGAAAATGAAAAATAAAAAACTTTATACACACAAAAAAAGAGATTGACAGAGAGGGAGAGATTGACAGATTGGAGGGAGATCCTTCAGGTAGGTCAGTAGATCTTGGCACCCCCTGAGATGCTGGCTGGGTCTCAGTTAGAAAGGAATTGCTTGGCTCTGTTTTCTGAGGAAGTCCAAATATCCTTTTTCATATTTTCACATTTTTTAATTCCCTTTCTGGGAGTCCTTGGCACCGGTCAAGGCAGACTCCGCTTGCTCTCAAGTTTGATCTTTTGGCTTGTGTGTGTGTGTATGTGTGTGTGGTTTGTTTGTCTGTCTAGAGCAGGGGTCCCCAAACTTTTAAGACTTGTGGACTTCAACTCCCAGAATTCCCCAGCCATCTAGCCTCAGAGGTCTTCAAAGTTGGCCACTTTAAAACTTGTGGACTTCAACTCCCAGAATTCTCCAGCCAGCTGGCTGGAGCCAAGTGGCCAAGTTTGGGGGCCTCTGGTCTGGGGCCTTTGGGCAAGGAAGGGAAGGTCCCTCCAAGGGGGGGGCGGTTACTTGGGTGACCGAGCTCCTGAATTGTGTGTGTGTGCGCATGTGTCCCATGGGGCCCTGCAAGGCCTCCGTCCTTCCTGGATTGCGTGGGGGGGGGGTTGGGGTTTAGCTGGGAGGTTGTGGGTTTTAATTGCTATTCGATCCATTTATTGGCCTTTCAGCTGCTGCTGTTGCTCCTGCACAACAGTCCAGGAGAAGCACGTATGCACACACACACACACACACACAGCATCAGATACAAACACAGCCAACACACACACGCACAAATAGATAAGTGAGTCAAAAATACACACAGGAGATAGACACAAACGCACAAACACACATGACACAGAAAGACAGACACACAAAGATGAACAGACACACAAACCAAGGTACAGAGACACATTTGAGACATACAAAAACACAGACACAACACAGATAAGTGAGTCAAAAATACACACAGGAGATGGACACAAACGTACACACCCACCCAACACAGACACTGAAAGACACAAACGGACACATGCAAACAAACAGACACACAAGCACAGATACAGAGAGACAGACCTATAAACACACACACACAACACACACACAGAGAGATACACACCCGAGTCAGAGACACAGACAGAAACACACAGGAGACAAGACTCAAACACACACAGGAAGAGAGACAGACGCACAGAAAGACACACAGACACCCCCGCAGTCTCCCACCCCCCCCTCCCACGGACCCACAGACCCGGACACACAATCCCAGGGTGACACAAATACAGGCACGCGCAGACACACGCACACCCAGAGAGACACGTAAGCCGGCGTCCACCCGGGCAGGCCGGCCGGCGCAGCCATCCATAGAGGGAGGTGGGGAGACAGGCGGGGGTCCCCACGGGCGGAGACCCTCCGGGGGAAGCGGGGCGGGCGGGGGCGCTGGGCGGGGGTCGCGGCTTGCGAGGCGGGCGGGGCTGCGCGAGTCCACCTGCCCGCAGCGCCTCCTCCGCCTCTCCGGCATCCTCCGGGCTGCGCATCCCCGCTGCTGGCAGCCCGGGCACCGCCGTCGCCTCCGCCGCTTCTCCTGCCGCCGGTGCTGCGTCACGGCGCCCTCGGCGGTGCCCATGTACGCCTTCTACTCGCTGCTGGTGCTGGTCTTCTACGCGCTCTTCAAGAAGGGCGATGCGGGGCCGGCGGGGGCGGCCCGGGGGCGGCGGCGGCTGCGGAGGCTCCCCCAGGCGCTTCCCCTCGCGCCTCCTCCCGCCCGGGTAAGTGGGCGCCGGCGGTGGGGAG